TACTAAAAGAAGATATTTAATCTAGAAAATTTAAAATACATATTCGAATTCTTCATTAATAATTCAAAATTCAAAAATTAAAATCAATAGAAGTAAATAAGCATGAACATACTTAGAGAAAGATAAAGAAAGTTGTTTTTGTATTTCTAATGTGAGAGTATTTGTGAGTTTTTCGGCACTGTTTTTCATTGCATCTGAAACTGCCTGCATTTGAACAATCAAGTCTTTGCCTTTGTCCTGTACACGTCTTTGTCTCTCCATATAAGTCTCTACCGAAGCTGTATCTGTTAAAAGATAATGATTATTTTTATTTGAAATATTACAAATGTGATAAAAATATGGAATATATAAAATTGTTTTCATATTTGAAAGAGATTTTCTTCTCAATACGATTTAGTTTATAACGCAATGTCTGCACTAGATAAAAATCTAAATTAACTATAACAATCCAGTTTTTTTTTCTCACTTTTAAAAAGTTTTTATAACTTACACTCTTTGGTTCCTTTTGTAAATGTGTCATGAATTTGTTGAAACATTGAATTGCACACTTTTTCCCATGATGGTATTAGAGCCCTTTCTATCATATTTCTGTAGCATTGTTCTAAGCTTGGCTGTATGACGTGCAAAATTGATGCACTAAGAGAGTCTGCCACAGTCTGTAAAAAAGTTTGAAATTTATCAGAAAAATGATTTTCCCTGTAAATAGAAATATGTAATACCTTGCTGGTTATTACTTTCGTTATATTTTCATTCAAGTAATGATCCATATTCCCCAGTTTTTGTGAGTATTCAAAAGATAATTGGTGTTTCAAATTATCAAATGAATTAACTGCAGTTGGTAAAATCACATTATTTATCTCGTGTATTACAATATTTTGCAACTTATCAATAATTTCTTTGCTTAATGATTGTGTAACATTGGAGATTAATTTTTCATGTTGATCTGATTCCCTTTTAAAATAATTTTCGAACATCTTCGACTGCTGCATTTGACTTCTTGTAAGCGCCACATCCAATTCTTTTAAAAACGTTGTGTGAATATCGTCTTTTGAGTCATTTCTGTAATTTTTGACGAATGATCTAAATTCACAGCTAAGTCTCTGAATTTGCTCATTTTGTTCTTGCAACAAGTTTTCCAATGATTTCATTCGATAATTCAGGTGCACATATGCGCTTTTATCCTTAAACTCGTTATTATCCTGTACAATTGTCCCCTCGGCTGTTTCTTCAGCTACTTGTTGCTGATGCTGCTGTTGTATTTGTTGCATCTCCTGACGTCGATTTTCTTCTTTCAACACTTCAGTGGCTTTAAGTATAGGAATACTAGACCACACGGCTGTCTGTTTCCTATTGAGATTCTCCGAGAAGGAATTCTCTTCAATTTCACCTGTTTGATTTCCGTAATGCGACGTGGTATTGGTATTTGCCATTTTTGCTTCTTTGCCGACATTCATGAGTTCATCAAAAAATTCTTGATCGTTCTTGAATGAGAATATTTCTTGAACTTCACGACTAGGACTCGACCCACCACTAGCAAAGTTGTCTTTTTGAGGTTTTTCGTCTTGCTGATCGTTATTACACAGGTTTATTAGATCGTTTCGAACATCTTCGTTATCTATTTGTTGTTCCATTGCTTTACTAAGATTAGGTTTTGTTGGACTAATAGTTTGTGTAGGTGAACTAAATGCTTCTGGTGTCATCAAATTCAATGATTGTTGCTGACTATTATTTTGTTGTATAAGTAAATTAACGGAAGGTTGTAGGTCATCTAGTTTGAGGAGTTCATTCTTTTCTTCTTTTGGGTCATTGTTTTTCTCTTTCTCCAGATTTTCCAGTCCATTTTGTTTTTCGTCGTTCAAATAAAAATTTTCCGGTTGGAATGTGATGAGACATTCCTGAAGTTGTTTCGGCTGAACCACAAACATATTCATTTCGACTACTGCTTCCAACGTTGCATCCTCAAAATCGTCAACATCATTCGTGTATAAATCTTCGTTGCTACTGGCACTTCGTAACTGTTTTTTTTCATCAGCACTAACGATGCAAAAACTGAGGAAGGGGGCAGGTAAAAGAAAACGCGATATTGATGAAACAAGTGCCACTTGTTCCGAATCCTTTCTTTGTAGTTTTAAAATATACAAAGTACGGTTATTTATATCTGATAAAACTAGATATTGCCCAGTCATATCCAAACGTGCCTTCATAAACAATTGTTGAGCTATGGACGTTGGATTGGGTAGAAAACGAATGGTCTGTAAACAGGTCCAAGACTCACAAGACCAGATTTTTAACTCAGTGTTATGATTTGATCCTGTTACTGCAAATTTCCAAAACCTAAAACTAAAATATAAAACTGTCATCACCTTTTTTTTTTTAATTAATGAGTAATATAACACTGGCAAAACAGTTCATAAAAAACGAGAAATTAATTTGCTATCCNTGAGAAAATAAATAAAATTTTGTCATTTATTAGTTCCTCCAAATCATTATAACTAATTAATTTGTACTGTAATTATGGCATATACAACATTTTCTTAAAAATCAATCTTTTAAATATTGAAACTTGGAAAACAGTTAACTAGTATGAACTTCTGTTAAACATCTTTCTTTAAAAAATTATAAAAATTAATTTGTAAAAGTGGGACACTGTGTACACTATTCCTGTTTTGTACCCAGGATCGAATTTGTGTCACACTGTTTACTAACCGATTGTGAGAGTATTTTTGTGTAAGCATTAAATATAGATACCTGTTTATGACAGAAACAATTTATAGAAAGGTATACATATGTGTACGAAAAGTATAATAATTGTGTTTATAGACATGATTAAATTTACGTAGACATTAATTACTTTTAAGGTGTGTAACTAACTAAAATACAATATTTGGAAATTTTTATTACTTATAAAAAAATTTCTTAAAATAAATTTGACAGTATAATTTTTTGACTCGCCCAGATCGTGAAGGCTCCCTATGCTAAGATCTGCAATATCATCAAAACACAAACCATGTCAAGTGATAGTACCGAAGAGGTGACTAAATATTGCATGATAATAAATATAATAATAGATGTTGTAGTGAAACATGACACTTCCAAATACTCTTCATTCTTGAACTACCTATGTAGAGTAATAATTATTTTACATTCCCACTAATTTCTAGAAAAGTAACATTGTAATACATAGAATTTGCCTGAATATACATGCATCAGTTACTGTGAATAGTTCTGACTGTAACAATTGGCATTTTCTACATACTGACATGTTTCACAGTGAACATAAAAAACTAACGAGGAAGTCTGGGTAAAATGAATATGTTATGAATAAATTGACGAAACTTAGGGAAATACCCGAATCATTGCAGTAGACTCGCGGCAGTGTGAGCATACCGTAGCCGAAGCTGTACAGATCAGCACATTAATTGCTCCCGGCCACCGGATACCGTGAACAAACTAAACCTTGGCTTACAGAAACGAATTTGTATTGCTCTAAATGCCCGATATATTTTGTACATTTCTAGTCGTATCAATTGGAAAGATGTTTTATTCGTGTCGTGATCAGTTAACTCAAAATTTCAGTATGAGTGGCGAAATAAGCAAAAATATTTACATATCACCAGCTACAGATGACTACAATACTTTAAAAAACTATTTGGAATTCGTTTTTTAAAAATTCGTGAGAAAAAATATCCTCAACGGGAACTGTTGAGTATATACTCGTTTATTATATAACATTGGTTTCTTCGATTCACACTGTCGAATGTCTTCTGTAAGTAGTAACGATGAAATTGTGACCATCAAAATGAAAAAATAACTTTGAAAGCTGTGCTTTATTTCTTGACATGTTTATAAAATGAAAATTCGTTTTGTCCAGGCAGTATTACATATTTGCATACACATATACCGACCAAAGAGCAATTTTACATGCTGACACATTCTATATTTCACTCATTTATTAATAATGAAGTACGTTAATAGTACTATTTATTAAATACATAAGCACAATGTCTAAGTAATTGATAGTTGTAAATATATTATTACAAGAGACACAAAGCGATTGAAAGTACATATTAATAGTTACACATCTGAAATTTAGGACTAATTTGAATTATTAATTTATTTACGGAACACATCTTTTGCAAATTATAAAAACAGGTTTAACACGTATTTAAAACACCTACCTACGGTTTAACTTTTTATTAACAGCATTAACACATAATTTGTCTACCTTGTTTTCAAAAGTAATATTAAATTATTCTTTGCTTAGTTTACCCTCAGGCAAGCACCTACCAAATACTGCTATTTAATTACTTTTAAGTGCTTGTTAGCTTTGCGTGTTAGTATATATTAGTTATACTTTAAGTGTAGGTAAAAATTATTATATTTATATTGCAAAAACGCTGCAACTATTCATAGTATTATTGCGGTAAACAACGTGTATATTAAAAAAAAGTATTGTGTAAAAAATATTAATCAGTTGTTTGACCAACGCAACGTGAAGAACTGGTATTTCATGTAAATTTAATTATTAATTTACATGATTTTTTAAGATGCTTTAATTAAACTTATCATTATTGACGTTTTTATGAATATTGATTTAGTTATCTTTCCGGTGTATTAATAACAATTGTTTTTTTTTTCTTGTCGATTGTATATAAAAAACAAATTTATCATTTCATACTTTTATATTATTGTCCATGTGTTTTCATTTTCTGCATTTTTCATTACTCTGAGCGTTATATTAAACCTTTTTTAATTTTATGGTACGTAATTTTAAAAATGGGTGTCAACTGCAGCGGATTTGGTTTTGTTCACGTTGTGTCTGTAATTATCGCTTTATTAATTACTTTTTTTTTTAAGGACAAAATTTCATCAAATCAAAATTAGTACATTTAAAAATGTATTGTATTAATGTTAAATAGTGCCTTTAGAAGTTCAAATGTTATTTATTTTTTTGTTAAAAACCAAGCATTGTAACTGAAAATTTGTAACAATATTTTTAGGTTTTGCCAATGTCAAATGATGTCCGGAAAGCTCTAGCAAGTGCCGCACATCCTTCAATAGACGTGGAACTTGCGCCCCCGGAATTGATAGGCACTACGGAAATTCTAACGGAAGAGCACCGTCTCGCCTTGTACCATCACTTACCTGCAAGGGCTGAAGGCTACAATTGGACGCTTGTATTCAGCACTAGTCAACACGGCTTCAGCTTGAACTCTATGTATAGGAAAATGTACAAATTAGAATCGCCAATTTTACTTCTTATTCAAGACACCGACAATAACGTAAGTAATATTTCAGCATATATATATATCAGCATTATTATTATTTCATTGTAGGTGTTTGGTGCGTTGACATCATGCGCCTTTCAAGTGTCTGACCATTTTTACGGCACCGGGGAATCCCTGCTATTCACTTTCGTTCCTCATTTCCAAGTGTACAATTGGACAGGTGAAAATCTCTACTTTATCAAGGGTAACAACGAAAGTTTAAGTATTGGAGCCGGCGATGGGAAATTTGGTTTATGGCTAGATGGCGACCTCTATCTGGGCCGTTCGGAAGCTTGCAAAACTTATGGGAACGACCCGTTGACGCCCACCGTCGATTTCGTTGTAAAAACGCTCGAGTGCTGGGCATTTATTTAAACAATTAGCTGAAATTCATTCCCCATCGAAGTAAAAGTAATTTCATCCCACACATGTTCAAGTTACTGCATTTGACCAGGTAAAATATTATACTGACATTTTTTCCTCTCTTTATCCCTATGCTAAGATCTG